ACGACAACGATGTCGATGCCAGAAAGGTCATTTGGTGAGAACTCGAGCTTGATCTGACGACCGTGTTTCCAGATTGGTCGCAAGTGCGAGCACTTGAAGACCAAAAGGAGGAGAGGAAAAGCGGCGATGACAGAGATGCCAGCCATTGCTAGCATTGTGCATTCAGAAAGAGCCTCGCTGCAGAAATCAGAGGACGCGAGTCATGAGCGCCTGATCAAGTACGTGGTAGTATAGTAGTACGAGTTCTAAAAACTTTTGAATTGAGAGATTCACGAGATGACTAATCAGGCATGTTAAGTGAATCCAAAGGACGTCGCTCGATAGAACTACTACTAGCAGTATCTAGCCATCGCAATTTGATTCTTACATCAGTGATGTATAGTACTCTTCTGAGGAACTAAGCTGCGCATGAAACTGTATCAATACAATTTTGATCCTGCTTTGATGCGGTTTTGATACTATGTCGGATGCGCGTCAGATGTAGTATCAACACTGTACAGTTATCTATGCTGTACTGCTAGTATCTATCTATACAGTCTCGAAATAAAGAATTGACTGCGTAGTGATCGCGAGTCCTTCCATAACTGAAACTTGAATTTATAGTAGCGCCTGAGCATCTGCCACAACCAGGCTGTGAAATTTCAAGAATCCTTGAGGAATTTAATTTGGAGATTGTGTAGACCAGCAGGAGTCTGCGGGCCCCGTTGCCGTTTTCGTTCCCACCTCTCACGTGTTCATGGTGCTTCCAGACCTCAAGTTTTTATGCACTCAGTATCTACCACTGAATAGCCTCTCCGAGAGCACGAAGGGGAAGCATAGTACATAGAAAGAGCTACCCACTTGGTAGAACGAGGTTGAATTAGATCTAGATTGAGTTCATAAATCATTTTTAATTCAGGATAGTAGCACTCCAAAAGGAAGCTATTGCATTAGCATTGAGAAATGACAGTCCGGATGCTCCTTCCTTGTCAAGAGATGGAGAGGTCAAGCTTGCTCAAGCAGTTCGAGGAGAATTCCAGGCTCCATCAATTTCAGCATCATGCTGGCCACTTCTCTTCGATTCCCCGGTTGAATGGAGCTGAATTCTCTCTTCGACCCAGTCTGGAACAAGTGTCGCTCGCCGAGTCTGGGACTCAGTTTGACGAAACACCCTCTTGGGTAAGATATGGTACTCACTCAGTGCAGGTACATAAGATCATGCGTGTGTCAAATGCCACCCATTAATCAAATCAGTATTCATATTTTTTTTATGAGCAAAACAAATGTCTACAGTAGTAAGAAGAGGATGCATGAATACACTTACTACTGAGCAAAATAAAGCGTCCTTGCAGAGACTTAAACGCGACACCGAAGTTTCCTAAAAGGGTAATTCTCATAATGGGTTGCACCTAATCTCGATCAGTGCTCGCCGCAGTAAATGAAAAAAATTATACTGCACCAGCTTTTACTACGGACTCGTTGGCCTCCATTAAATTTACAGTAGTACTAGTGTTGATTCATCACGGCCGTTGTTGCTACATAAGTACTAGCTAGTATCAAGCAGGCAGGATGTTTCCTGTCACCCTTCCTGCCTCAACACACGCACCCAGACGGTCCGTGCCTGTCGATCCCTGATTCAGGGATTGAGTACTAGTACTACTAGTACGAGGCACTACCAGTACTACCTAACTAGCAGTACCAGTGAACAAGCAATAAAAAGATCCGGCCCCCTTGCTTTTCCAGCTTGCATTCAACACTCAGAAATCGTCGAAAAGGGCCTGTTTACCTGAGTCCTGTCATGTCTGACCCACCTCCTCGTCCCAATTTTCCATGTTCCCATGTTCCTGCATCATAGAAGTCATTAGCTCGTCTCATTATCAAGCTTGTCACAAGCCTGTCGCTTCTTCCTCCCGTTGTTGATGAGATGGTAGAGTCGAAGATTCTTTCTGCCAGCTTTCGCAATCCCCACGCCAATCAGTGGCTTCGACTGTGGTCATACTTGCGATTTGCTTCGTCACTTGATTTATTAGGCTCTAAAGTCGACTGAGGTCTTGTACAACAAACACTTTGTTCTGCCGAGCGACTTTTCATGTCCCGAGACCGAAAAATGACCCGTGGTCGCAGAAAAATCCGACTCTTGTGCTGGTTGCCTAACCTAAGGCTGTGCGTCACTAGATGCCGAAGGAGGCACCGGTGCTGAGGACGCAGGTGCTCCTGGTTGCGGCGTAGCAACAGGAGCATTCACAGCCGAAGCATGAGCCTCACTCTGAGGTGTTTGTGAAGACGGTTGAGGTTGCCCCTGCGGTGGTGGTGGGCCGGGAGGTGGTTGTTGTCCTGCTGTTTGGGGTCGAGGCTGCTGCGGTTGTTGTTGCACATTTGGTATGCCTGGCGCTGTTCGCGAGTACTCCTCAATACCAGGGAGCATGCCGTTCGTAATCGGAGGCTGGTCGACAGTCATGTGGCCACACATGACCACATCGGCATCTCCCATCGGTTGCCACCTCACATTTCTCAACCTCGTGGCTATGGGTCGCCCAGTAGGGTCAAATGCCGGATCTGGGGAGACCATCACTCCTGCTTTGCCAAAAAAAGTCGGAGCTATCGTGAGAATGATAGAGTCGATCAGGTGGGAGCGGTGCATCTTCAGCAGCTCTGAAAGGACGACTCCCCCGCCTTCGACCATGACACTCTTAATACCTTCTCGAAATAGCACATGGAAAATACCCTCCCAGTTCAGCCCTCCGTGTGCTGGGTGATAGTCATTAATCATCAGATATTCTCCACCGTGCGCTTTCAGCGTGCTAACAGCCATGGGATGTAGCAAGGCACCTGGAGCAACAATCACCCATGGAGCCTTGCCGCGTCCGTCCGTCGCCGCTTTGAGCACCTTCATCCCAGGATGGATTCGCAAGCGGGCATGAGGATCAACAATGATCGGTCGGGGTTGGAACTCCCAACCTAGTCCACCATATCCGGCAGGATTGGTGAGTCGACAATTCAGTGCAGGATCATCGGCAATAGCTGTAGAAACTCCAATCAAGATGGCATCATGTCGACTTCTCAAATAGTGTGTCATTGCTTTCGTCTCTGGGCCAGACACGGCCGTAGGAACTCCAGGTATTTGACTGATCCGTCCGTCGAGGCTGCTTGCCCAGGTAAGGGTTACGTGGGGACGAGTTCGGACCGCCGTAAGTTTGGGATCGGGGATATAGGATTCCAGGAAGCCTCTGGCATGATGAGGGTACTGTAGAGTGTCCCAATGAACTGCTGTTGTAGGCTCATTCCTTGTATTGGGTTTGACAGGTTCCAACCGGCCAAAGACGCCAGGCTGCATGGAAGGCTGGAATTGAGGCTTTGGAGGTGGTGGGGGTACTGGCGGTTGTCGAGGTGCACGTTGTTGGTTGAAGCCCTTGTGTGCTTTCAGAACGACTTGCTGATGTCCCTGGCGCCATGCATACTGGACGTTCCGGACGTCTGACATTTTCATAAACTTTCCGCCGGCAGCTCGCATCTTCTCTGGCTCTTCCCACATTTTCCAAAATATCGACGCGGGCAGGTAAGCTTTGGCGGCCTCGCGGCGGGCTGTGTCCATGATCCCGGTATTTCGCTTCGTACCATCGACATAGTCCAAATCGTGGGAATGTCTCATCACACCATCAGTAGCCTTCGAAATAGTGCAAGTCTCTATTGGACCGTGGTTGTAGACCACCTTCATCGTCATGGCACATGTTTTTTCTTCTCGAACTCTCTTCTTTCTCTGTTGTTTGCCTTCTGGTGTGGGACGAGGTGTGTGTACCTTTGGGGTAGCGCCGCGTCGGAGTCTGCACGCGTAATAGTCGACTGTGGCAGCAACATTCTCGGGTTGGGAGTCTGTCGTTCTCATCTTGCGCCAGATGTTGTCGACGAAAGGGAAGTAAGCTTGCCAGTCCGCGACAGGCAGCTCGATGGGGTGTTCTAGAGAGAAAAGTCTCTGTCGCATTTCGGCGAGATTAGGCGGGTTGTCGAAGACGCTGTAGCCTTCAGGTTCATCAGACACGGCGTAAGTTCTGCCGTTTGTTGACATTGTCCGTTCAGCCGCGGCATCGGCCTCGCCCTCACCGTCACCCTCAACTTCTCCGTCGGCAACTCCTTCGTCATCTTCCACATCGTGCATGTTGGCGTCGTTGGCAGCTTCATCGTCCGCTTCGCTTTCTTCGTCATGGTGGTCGAGGCCATCTGGCGCATCGGGAGTCTCAGGGTCAGTGCTCATGATGATCGACACGCGCGGGTAGTGTGCAGTGGGCTGACGATCGACTAATGATGGGAGGGATGTGGATGCTCCGCGCCGCGCAGGATGAAAAGAGGTCGCGTTATCATTCGGAACGTGCACAGTGAGCAAGGTCCGATAGAGGGCAAACAGTGATCGAGGAATCCGAAAACAGGCACTAATCCTTTGCAGACCTGAAGTAATGAGTTTCACGCCTTACTCACTGTCTGCATTGAAATGCGCACCAGAAAGTGAAAGTGAGCGGACTCTGAAAATTGGCGCGGGCATCGGGGGTTGAGGATTCGCCAAAACAGAGATGACCCGTCACTGAGCGAGGCTCCACCCTCCCGCCAAGCGACCTTCATGCAAGGAACAAGCTCAGCAGCTCAGCTAAAGTCACCCGCTAAAATAAACCGAATAGGCTCTTAATACCGCCAGAGGGCGTTGAGTAAAGGTGCCTAGGGTCGAGGACCGCCTCATGGAGTTACCTGAACTTTAGGTATGTCTTGCCTAAGCTACCTTAGGCAAGGACCTCCTCCAGGCATTATTCGTCGCGTCACATTTTGAAACCTGTCGTCTGCACAAGTCTTGAAGTTTGACAAACGACAAAACAGACATGGGCATTTGTCCAGATTTGGATTGATCTGTTCAGTCCGTTCCTCTCTGGAGCACTTGCGGTGCGTCCCGTGTCCCAAGCACCTCACAAGAGAACTTTTGATCTTTTGCACATGGCTGTTAAAGTCTACATTTTGGGTATCATTCGTAGTCTCCTTCCCTAATTTTGTGGGATAAAAAAGACAAGCCATCGACTTCCATCCAGCGAGTTCATCTTCTTCCCCCATATCTTGGTCTGCTCCTTGACCGACTCCTGCTCCTGCTCCTGCTGTGACTGTAGCTGCTCCGAGAGCTGTAACTTGGGCTGCGTCTTCTGCGCCGTGGTGGACTTCGACCTGGTGGACCACGTCTTCGAGGCGGTGTCCGAGATGAGGATCTGGAGTATGATGGTGACCGCCGACGCCTCCTAGGCGGTGAAGGAGACCTGGAGTATGCATCACGGGGAACGTACGTGTCGTCTTCTGCTCCTCCTCGCCTTCCTCCACCATACCCGCCTCGCCTAGGTGGAGGGCTTCGATATCTTGGTGGCGGTGGCCCTCTTGGTGGTGGGCCGTACCGGGAGGGCAGTGGACCATATCGGGCGGATCGTGCTGGTGGCGGTGATCTCGAGAAGGCCCGTCGAGGAAGTACAATGCTCACGGAAATGATGACACCGTCTAGCTGGGCCTCGTGCATGTGGGCAATTGCAGATTCGGAGCCGGAAGGGTGATCATAAAGAATGTAGGCGGTGCCGCGATTTGTCATGACTGTTCCACGTTAGATGTCTTCTTGGCCATTCATGATTAGACATACATTGTTTGTTGAGAGGGAGATCGATCGACTCAATGCGACCGTAGGAGCCAAAGATCTCGCGTAGATGAGCCTCGGTCACGTTTCTAGTAAGTTTTTCCACCACAATCTTGGAGCTCTGCATCCGTCGGTTGTCTCTACTGGGGCTGCGCGTGTAGCTTCTTTCTCGATAGGACCTTCTGTCACCGCGACTTGGACTCCTGCTCCTGCTCCGCGACGTGCTTCGGCTCTGGCTTCTCGCCCGACCGTGTCCATTGCGACCATCGCGTCCATCGCGTGGTGGAGGCGACCGAGAGTACGACCTGGTTCCGGACCTCGAACGCGAACGGGAGCGCGAACGTGGTGAAGGGGATCGACGCGGCGAATGTGAACGATTAAAGGGTGGGGAGGGTGCTCGTTGTATGGAAGTTGGCGTGTGCGACCTTGTAGGCGATCGACCTCGTGACGGCGATCGCGAAGGCATTCTGGAAAAGATTTCAAGGGCGGCGTCGAGAAAAGGGTCTTAGAACATATTCTGGTATGAGAAGACAGTAGGAGAGGTGAGGGATCTGATGTTTTGACGTAGTTCAAACATTAATGGCAGGGCCTCGTGCCTCATCCCAGCACAAGCAAGTACCTTTAATCCTCCTAAATTGGGATCTGCGGCCTGTGTAAAGGTACTTCGCCGTACCACTATTTGGTCTTGGCAGCACGGCAGATTTTCTTGACTTCTTCCATCAATCATCATGCATTTTTCCGGAAAACACCGTCGGATCACTTCCATCCCTCCATCGTAAGACAACTTCACCACTTCAGTTCTGCAGATGACGTTCTCTGCTGCGAGACGCCGATCTGTCTTCCACCATTCCGGGATATCCTGTCACCTCTCCGCGCCCAAAACAATCGTTTGTCGATCCGTAGACTTCCCACTCCACAAATGCTCTAACACCTTCCCGAAATGCAATTTGTCCCACCAATCGCGATATTTGCAAACCTGGGGAATTCCTTGCTTTGAATGTGCCGAACCACCCCTCCGCGGAATGCAGGGAGTGAAAAGACGTTGCCTCAGAGCATCCAATATTAGGATGGCCGCAGTCATAAATGAGAAAAGGTAGGAAAAAAGCCGTTGGTCCTCCGTTCTTCTGCCACCGTCATCCAAGATGCTCGCGCCTTGCATCGTTGCTGTTCTGCTCATGGTAAAGGTGACTACGTGCACTATATCATTGTCAGTCGCCCCTCCGCAGAATGCTAGCAAGCCCCTTCTTGAGTCCTTCGTCTCGTACTCGATTGAGTTTTCATCTTTTCCGGATTTCGCAGGTAAGTTCTCTCGAAGCGGCGGGATGTCGTTACCAACCTTTGGCCAGGGAATATCAGCCATCCAAATAACTTTTCATACAACCTGTTGAAGAACTTGCGTGACCTCCAAGGAACTTATCCCATCGTCCGAGTTGGCGGGAACACAGAGTACGTCAATCGTAACTTCGACTGAATGGCTAATGCTAAAGGAACGGCCAGGGATTACGCCACTTTCAACGCTTCACAGAAAGCCGCCCTAATTGGCACTTTCAACTTCACAAGATCGAGAGACTACCCAACAACAATATCCATCGGCCCGAACTACTTCGACTCTTACTCTACTTGGCCAGGGGTTACGTATATCCATGGTTTCAACATGGGAAAGAATGGATCCATCGGCTATGAAACGTTGATAGGGACTGCTCCACTTGTTTGTAAGGCCCTGGGGACCACCAAGACTGCTTATTGGGAAGTGGGAAACGAGCCGGATCTTTACAAGACCAGTGCCCAAGGGCCAGTGAGACCAAGTTGGTGGAATGAGACGGATTACGTCCAAGAATGGCTCAACAAAACCCGCACTATCCGACAGCTGGTGCAGCAGAATTGTCCGGAGATCATCAGTCAGGGGAAGTTCAAATTCTACGCCCCTAATTTTGCGGGAACTTCAAATAGTTTGAACTTGATCACCACCTGGCAAGCAGGGTTGGACGCCGACAACAATATTGCTTTCATCGACAGCCACAAGTGAGTCATTGGGGAAAACCAGACTCACTCTTGCTGATGGCGTGCAGTTACATTGGTGGTGCGACTCAACCGGGTGTGACTCTCCAGGGCACCTTGATGAACCACACTTCGACCGTCTTGTCCGTTAGCAAACACCTGAACGAATCGAGCCTCCTGGCCTACACGGGGCTCCCATACATTCTGGGAGAGACAAACAGCCTGTACAATGAAGGGGCACCAGGCCTGTCCAACTCCTTCGGCGCGGCTCTGTGGGGCGTGGATTTCAACCTCTACTGCGCCGCAACCGGTATTGCTCGAGTTCACATGCACCAAGGCACCAATTATAGGTACGCTTCGTGGCAGCCGATCCCGACCGTCAACGAGAGCTTGGGCACAAAGGCACCGTACTATGGTAACATTATGGTAGCCACTTTTCTTGGGGATTTGACCAAAAACAGCGTCAGCATAAGTGACATCGAACTCGGGAATATACATCAAAATGCCTATGCGGCGTACGTCAATGGCCGGCTAGAGAGAATAGCCATCGTCCAAATGAATGCATACAATTACACGTCCAGTGGCACGCAGGAACCTCGGCCGTCTGAGACATTCAGCTTTCAACTGCCAACCACCAACACTGTGTCAACCGCGAGGGGAGCCAGCGTGCAGCGATTGATGGCAAACGGCAGCGACGCCATCACGGGTATCACTTTCGATGGCTGGTCATATAACCACGAACTTCAGCAGGGAAAGCCGGTAAAATTGAACAATGTCACTTCTGGAGAGGTGTTACAGATCGCGCAGGGCGGCATACTTACGGTTACTGTGCCATGGTCTAGTGCAGTGATATTGAATTTGCAGTGGTGATGTATCGGGCTTTGTATGTCTGTCAGAGTAAAATGCTGAGAGAGGACTCCGTTGCTTGCAGAACTGTTGCAGGGTGTAGCTCGAGACTGGCCGTCTACGAGTAGGTCCAAAGGGAGCCAAAGTTGCCTTGTTCGATGCTCCCTGATGATCACGAAGCCTCCATATTATGCCCAGATCTGGATATTACTGCTTCCTGGCTTTTCCCCGGGGGGTCTCGCGTGGACCTGAGACGCGCCAAACGGGGAGATCGGTAATGTTGAACGGCCTAGTTCGATGTACTCAGTGCCTTGTCAGTAGCTATTATGGCCCGTCAGCTCGAGAACAGCCGATACTTATCCTTCAACTCAATTAGCATCATGGCGGTAGTAAACATTCTTTCCTTCTCGGCCATGGCCCGCTGCATCACACCATCAGAGGTTTCGTTCATGTATAGTATGGACGCCGCCGCATTGGAGGATCTCGTAGGAGGCACCTTGAGAACGAGGGACGAAGGTTTTGTCGACTGCGCTGGTATTTCCTGTTGCTTCGGCCTTGGAAAGTAGTCACTGCCACAAGCAATGGAGGTAAGTTGTTCAATGACCTTACGTATGTTCAGTCATAGCTGATGTCACTGCAAAGGTCGGAAAATGCCAAAAGGGTCACTTGCTGACGCAGGCAATCTCGTTCTCCTGCATCTGGAAGCCTCACATCTGTCGAGCAAGAAGGATCCCACTGGCTTGACTGGACGTCTGACAGTCGTGATGCGAATTGACAGGCATCGGCTCCTAATTCAACATTTGATTGGCCCTAGTCATACTCAGGTCATCATCACGGAAAGAATGCGCCAATCCCATTACATACCCAGGACCGACATGATGACCTCCACCCCGTCGGCTCCGACTCCTGCAACCGCGGCAGCCGCCCAAACTTGGAAAGTTGGGGTGTCAGAAAAGAAGGACCTGGGCTTTGACCACAAACTCTGCCGTTGCGAATTGCGAGATGGAATATCGCAGAGGGCTCTCGGAGGAGTTGGGAATCAACTTGGACCGATCAACTCATGTTCGAGGCTACCTCCAGGTGCGCCCTCACCGAGACCGCGACAATCTGACAAAACTTCTCAGAAACATTGTGACACAAGAACTACGCCGATATTGTTTATTTCTTGGCTTCCCATGCCTCACGGCACCGCTTCTCAAGGTCCACAAATCCCCATGGGACCTGCTACCACGGTTCGGAAGCAGAACTCGTCTTGTGACCCGTGTCGGCGTTCGAAAAGACGATGCGCGTTCCCCGAAGGCGTCCATCCCGGGTCCCCAAACAGGTGTCTGAACTGCATGCACCTCGGGCACAATTGCACGTTTGATTTTGTCAATTCCCGACTCAATCAGAGGAAAAATAAAATTAAGCAACCAGCCTCATATGGACCGGAACAACCTATCGCCCCTGCCATCTCCAGACCCGAGAAGGAGAGCATTTTTCCTTCGGATCAGGGGTTTGTGGACTCCATTCCAGCCACAGGACACAATGGCTCGTGGAACGGGATTTCCTCTACCGGTGTTCTTGATGTTGATATGTTTATGGGAAATCTCGTGTCGGAGTGGACCAACCTGGACCGTCAGGTCTTTGCCACAGAGACTCCAGCTACAGAGCACTATCAAAGCAGCACCAGCAGTGGCGCACTATCACCAAGCACTCAAGACTCGAGGAGCCACTACCAGACGCCATACAGAGCACCCAATGACTTTTTAGCTCGAAGAAACTTGTCTCTGGGGCTTTGGCGGGGCAGTCCGATCCACCTCCTCAACTCCAGTGTTGAGACGCAGCGGATAAATCAGAATCTCCGTGAGGTCTACAATTCCATGATGGCCGGTATCGCAATACGGTATCTAGACTACAACTGTAATCTATTCGCTGGGTCATACAAATATTCATTCGATGCCGATCAATCAAATCCATCAACTTTGGACATCAATGGTGGTCAATCTGTGGGCGACATCCTGACGCCGTCGTGGAAGAAAGCTTCACTAGAAAACAATGGCTCTCGAATCCAGGCCAATATGGCTCCAGAGAGACTGGCAAGCCAAATTAACAAGGTTACCATGCTTGGAGTTGCACGATTTCTGGACAACTTTGGTGCTTTTTATGGCAATGTCGTGGATCAGAAAACACGCAATCAGCATGAGCACACCTTGATCGCGGTCCTGCAGGCGTTTGCTCTCCAATTTGCGCCATCTAGGCCGGCAGACGACCCATTGACACGGTTGTTCGAAGACACCCAGGGTGGCAACCAGTGCTCGCTATCAGACCCCAATCCTGGGGATCGAAGCACCAATAGTCAACACGTTTTCACCGCAGCATGGTTCAATGCTCACTCTCATCTGGTTTCGTCAAAGGAAACTCGATCCTTTGTAAGACTTTACTCAGTATTCCTCTTTCTGATGACCAGTGTACCACCGGAAGCAGCGTCCATTCCCTGCTATGAAGACACTCCGATTGGCCTGCTCGATAACGCTCTGCGCCAGATGGAGGAGCTACGGGATCTCGTGGAGGCCTATTGCAAAAATCTTAGCCGGCAGTCAATTTATCGTTTCCTACTTGAATCCTCTGTCGGTATTATCCGCTGGTATGGCTATCTGCGCGATACCATAGATTCCGTGCTTCATGAGCGACCGTGCATGTTGGAAGACGCGATGCCAAGGTCAAAAGGTAGGGATTACAACTCAACTTCACAGTTGTTGTGATGGTTAACGTTCCTCCAGAAACCCTCTTGGGTGGGCACTTGGCTCCAGAATGGCAGCAACCATCCGTATTCGATCAGGAAGTTCCCAAGCATTGCCAGAATGCGGCAGGGGATCTTTTTCGTGTCTTCAGAGGGACCATTAATCTCAGACAAGTCCTCTTGACTGGGGACGCTGCGAACAACGTACCCATGCTGAAGAGTGCGATTACCTTAGCAATGGCCATCAACGACGAATTTGCGTTGACCTATGGCTCATGGCTACGACAGTGCACTATCTCTCTGTATTTACTTTCAGAGAAGTCGAAACTGGCCTCAGGTGAATTATCTGCCTCCAAAGGACGTGACTCGATGCTGACTGTGAGCCAAATCAGCGTTTATGTTGTTGTTTTGGGGCTTAGGCGGTTTATTACTCGTAGAACAGCTCCATCAGGCTTCGAACCTACTACCTGCCGCGGAGAGACAGCCCGTCTTGGAAAAAGCACTGTCTTTTCAGCGAGATGCAGTCACATCTCTTCTCACAGTAGCACAACGAATTGTGGACGTATCGGCAACGGGCGAGTTTAAACTCATTAACAGTGTCCAGGCAAAGATGCACTTCATCTCACACCACGCAAACACGGCCTTGGTGGTCCTAGCCTTGTCAAAAGCAATAGAGCACACGATCGATCTGAATGTATCCGCCAGACAGCAAGGCGACCTGGTCTCGACGATGTTTCCCGACATGGATTCAGATTCGGAGTGGGTTGCGAGGATGAAACCTTTGCTTACGTGCTTGTTGACTCTCGACTCTACAGTGTCTGGAGCGATCACCGCGAGATCAGCGCTGCAGAGGCTGATGCAGCAGTATGGTGACATCTTGATGGATTGCTGGTCACAGGAAGACGTGGGCGAACATACATGATGATCGTTTCGGGGGAACCACTGAAACTCTCCGGTAATCGGGTGGCTCGAAACACTCGACATGGAGGCAGTTTCTCACAGCACAGCTCACTCGGCCAAGAACAGTGTGCCATTAACGTACCCAACACCCCCAGCGAGAGGCCGCCAGCTGAGCGGCAGCACTGATACCTCGATCTGACGTCGAACATCTAGCTACAGTCCTGCGGCTCCGATGTTAGCCGTACCGAGCCTTGTGCTTGTGGACCCTGAACCGCCGGTGGTGGCCTCATCCTGAATCCATCTCTTCATCTGATGCCCACACATGCTTGATAGCCAGCCACGATCAGGGGAACCTTGCAACTTGACAGCTCGAATGTCAGACAGGCGATCATATATCTTCAGCTACTTCCCTGGCTTGTCGTACTCACTATCCTCATAGTCCACATTCTTCGATCTACACACGACGCTGCACCGAAACAATCTGATCTAAGAACTTCAACATGCCCCTGAAATCAAGATGGGAGTTGACGCCGCCGACATTGTCGGTTCCGACGTTCATGTTTGGTTCTTCGTCCTCCAGCCTCAACTCGACTGACAAAATTATCATTGATGCAAAACGCCCCAACAGCCACTTTCTCACTCTTCATACCTATCGCGAATGGTCCAAGAGATTTGCTACGGGGGTTCAGTCTATAGGACTTGAAAACGCCGATCGAGTGCTCCTATTCTCCCCGAATAGCATCTTCTATCCGGTTGTTGTCATGGGTGCTTTGATGGCCGGTGCCATCTACAACAGTGCAAATCCAGCCTATACGGCGCGTGAGCTTGCACACCAGCTCAAAGACTCGGATCCTCGAATCGTCCTCGCTGCGGAGAGTTGCATAGACCGAGCTCTGGAAGCCGCTGATTTGATTGGCTTTGACAAGAAACGCATCTTTCTGTTCTCTGAGGTGTCTATCGACCCTACGAAAGAACAATCATTCACCAGTACAAAAGTCCAGCATTGGAGTAGATTGCTTGCAAAACCCGAAATTGGTCGAACATTTGTCTGGGAAGAGCGTAACACCGAGACGTTCTCGGAGCGCACTGCAATCCTCATATATTCCTCAGGCACCACCGGCCTCCCAAAGGGCGTTGAGTTATCTCATCGCAGTCTCATCGCGAATATGCTTCAGCTCAAAGCGATTCAAATGTCTGACCCCACCGTTACTGCTCGGCGGACTCTTTGTGCGGTCCCAATGTACCACGCACTCGGGCTGTGCTACTATACCTTCACGGCGCCCAAATGGGGTCTCGAGACGTACTTGATGGAGCGATTTAACTTGGCAGACTTTTTGGATCACATTCACACGTTCAAAATCACGGAACTGGTTTTAGTGCCTCCGATGCTGGTAGCGATGGCGAAGCATCCATCGGTTCGAGATGGCACCTGCGACATCAGCAGTGTCAGAAAAGTGGCAGCAGGTGCGGCGCCAATCGGGATGGAAGTAACACAACAATTCGAAGAGCTTTGGAATGGTAGAGTAAAAGTGCGGCAGGCATGGGGGATGTCAGAGTAAGTGGTGGGGTTTGCAGGTAACACATACCTTTGCTGACGGGATTGTCACCAGGACCCCAGCAATCACTTTATGCTGGGACGAACGTGAGAGCTCGGGTCCGTCGTCGATATCAATTGGCGAGTTGGTTCCTGGTGCAGAAGCAATGGTGGTCAAGGAGAACGGCGAGGAAGAAACGCGGCCAGGCGAGACAGGAGAGTTCTGGATACGCTCTCCGAACGCGATGAAGGGATATTGGCGCAATCCAAAAGCTACTGCCGAGACTATCAGCAACGGTTGGCTCAAGACTGGCGACATTGCATATCGAGACGAGACTGGAAAGTGGTACATGGTTGATCGGAAGAAGGTGAGTCGCATGAAACTCTCCGATGGTTGTTGTGTTTGCCAGTCTATTAACTTGGACCAGGAGTTGATCAAAGTCAAGGGTGTCGCAGTGGCACCAGCAGAGCTCGAAGCTCTTCTTCTCGAACATCACGAGATTGTGGACGCTGCGGTGATTGGCATCAAGACGTATGTCGATAAGCGCGTATATGTTTAATTTTATGTGCTGATGCTAGTCTCTCAGGGCGACGGATGATGAGCAACCACGCGCATACGTTGTGCTGGCACCAGGCTCGCGGCTTACTGAGAAGGATATCGTGGATTTTGTCAAGGCTCGTGTATCGACAATCAAACACCTGACAGGAGGTGCGGCCTTTGTTGATGCAATTCCCAAAAACCCGGTGAGTGAAGCAAACTGTACATCCGTCACATTGGTTTTATGTCATTACAGTTACTGACCTCTCTTCCAGTCGGGAAAGATATTGCGGCGGCAGCTGAGAGAGATCGCTGCGAAGGAGACGGGGTCGAAAATGTAGCCACTTCATAGTGAGGAAAAACATACAGAGGTCAGCGAACAATGAACGGCAGATCTCTCGTTAAACTACACACAACCTAGGCATTGAAGGCAGTTGCAAAATCACAGATGCGGCCCGCCTGGCGCCCCAAGGCCCAGAAATCTCATCACCTGTCCGAGATGATCAAATCCCCAAAAGAACTCCTCCTGTCCTTCTCCATCTACAGCCTTGATCCAGGGAAGCCCCGGAGATCCACTAGCGATGGCGGCTTCGGTGTTCTGTTTGAGGAGCGACTTGACTTCCGCAGTCGTGCTCTGTCGAACGAGTTATTCGGCATCCTTTGTCATGTCACAGAGCTGGCTTTGCATACCCTATTGAGGATCTTTGCGGCGACATCCTTGCCGACTACCTGAGTGATAATGGATGCGTGCACGTCGGGCAGTTGAACTCCCTTTTTCTCACACCAAAATGCATGATACACGGCGCTTAGCACATCTGGGTATCGATTGGGGCATTCGAGGGAACATGCCACCAGGGCCCTCTGTACCTGTTTGAAGTATTAGTGCGTGGTGCTGGTCGTCAGCGAAGGATCGATAGCCAGTCACCTTCAACGTGGTAACGTCGAATGGGTAGTTCGCCGGTAAGCCTGGGTTCCAAGGGATATCGAATTCTCGACACCATCTGGCGACGTCTGTGTGCAACCATTTCACCTTGTCTGAGTCCACGTCAGGATCAGGCCACGCAGATACCGGAGCGGGAATAAGGACAGGGGATTGACAGCCACATACTGGGACTGCTCCAGGGGGGCTTTAATCCGACGGCATCTATATATGCCACAAGCAACACGGGGGTATATGTCACGTCGCAAGGTTTGAAGACCGGGGAATTCTGGAAAAGTCATGTTTAGTTTCAGCAAAGATTGTTCTCCATACGTCTCCCTCCCTCACAGGGCTTTACGGAGGGATCAAGTACCAACCTTGATGAGGTAAAAGGCCAAATATGAGTATGGGCTATGTAGGTCGAAATATAGCGTCAGCTTGGGCCTCGCCATTGCTCCCCGAAGCATAATCACTGTGTGGAATCAAGTAGCGAGCCTTGTGGGAATATCTTGTCCTAATATCATAATGAGGCTTACCGGGTTCTGGCCCAAGTGGGTTTCCGCTTTCCGCACGACTGATACTAATACCGAGGTCGAGCAGCATCCGTCCAACGGCTCCGCGTCGCCTCCGCGTCGTCATCGTCTAGTGCTGGTTACCACCTCCGTGTACGTGCTAACGAGCATTCCACCCCATAATTACCTTGAAAGCGAACAGAACCCCTGATTATTGGGCTCCAATTGCGCGCGATCCTTTTTCCTGCGTCGTAGGTACGGAGACAGGAAAACTACTCCACCGCCCGAGGGACGCATCACACCCCCGCGCCCTGGATGGCCACCGAGCTCGAGACAACGCATGCAAAGTACGTCAGCTTCCTCCCAGAGACCGTGGGTGAGAGCGATGGATCGGAGCGCGAGTCTCTACTGGCCATCGACCCTGCTGGATTCCTCATACGACACCCGCCAAAGCCACATGAGCTCGATGCCGATCTCACGGACGAATCCCAGCTTTTCCAGACTATCCATATGGGCGCTGCGGTGGTAGATGAGGGCAAGTGGAAGCTGGTAGTGGACGGCTTGGTCGAGCGACCGTTCTCCGTGTCCCTTGCGCAACTGAAAAGCATGCCATCTTCCACTGTCACCGCCTTCCATGAATGCTACGGCAGTCCCATTGCTCCTCCGATCCACGCGTTATGGAGGATTGGGAACGTCAAATGGACTGGTGTCAGGCTGGCGGATATGCTCAAACTGGCCGGGCCCAAGCCTAACGCAAGATTCGTGTGGTCGCAAGGACTGGAGTCCGGCTCATTTGCCGGGGTTTCCGCGGATCGGTACGAAAAGGATCTTCCCCTGGAGAAGGCGCTGCGCTGCGAGGTTCTGATTGCCTATGAAATGAACGGCGAACCACTAGGCAAGAATCGAGGCGGACCGGTGAGAATGGTGGTACCAGGGTATTTTGGCACCAATAGCACAAAATGGTTGTGTCGGCTCTCACTACAAGACCATCGCGCCGTGGGGCCGTTCACCACGACATTTTATAATGAGATCGACCCGACCGACCCGCAGGGACAGAAGACACGACCCGTGTGGGTGGTTGAGCCCAATTCCATGATCGTTAGGCCTGAGCCCGGGGCAGTGTTGCGAGGACCAGACATTGAAATCCGAGGCCGTGCATGGGGGTGCGAGGAGATCAGCCGGGTTGATGTCAGCGTCGACGGCGGTGAGTGCTGGCTACCACAGACAGATGTCACATTGGCAGCACGGAATGAATTTGAATGGCAATCATTCCAGGCAAAGGTCTCAATACCCAACCCTGGAAAGTACAAGCTGATGGCGAGAGCGACGGACGCGGCCGGCATTTCTCAGCCCATAATGGGAAGAAGAAATCATGTGCACACGGTCGAGATTGAGATTGTCTGATTAGTTGCGCTCTTTCAATCCAATCACTTGGACAAACACAAGCTAGAGGGGAGAAAATGGGAAGGGGTCAGCCTTGCGCTTTGCTGTGATACGAGCCTTGCTGCCTCGGCGCGGACATTATATCGGCTGACCTTCCCTTGACCAGCTGGCTCACTTTCAGCCTCATCATTCTCACTTTGTGACTTTCTCCCCGCAGCCTACCTTACTTGGTGCTTGCCTACCTGTGTCTGCGTCCAGCGCCGCATTGTCGACGGATTGCGGTGACTGAGGAAGTCAAGATGTACCACTGCAGTTTCGCGACGCCTCTTCGATGATGCCAGGCCATCAGCAGGCTCCGCAAGTTTCCGTCGCAAATGAGGACAGCCATGGCGAACGGCACGAGAGTGTCGAGACGCAACCACGCACCAATGGCTTGAAGCCGAAAGCTTGCAACAATTGCAGACAGCAAAAGGTGGGCGCCCGCGTTTTGTGCCTTTCCGAGACCACTAACTAACCTCTCCAGCTGAGGTGCGAGTTGACCAAGCTCGACACTCCGTCATCCAATGCATGTTCGCGTTGTCAAAGGCTGGAGCTTGAGTGCCGAGTAGATGATACGTTCAAGAGGACGAGGAAGCGGAAGTAAGACTGGCAAGAGAGGGACTTTATAACGGTCAATCACTAACCCTCGTCCTCCTGGCAGGGTATCCACCGAGTTGGAAGAAGAAATAAACAAGCTTAAGCGCCAATTGTCTGTCTATGAAGGCGCAGGTCTCCGGGATGTGACTGTTCCCGCTGTCAGAGACCCTGCAGCGCGGACTCTTGCCGAGGGTGACGGTCCTCCTGCTGCTAGAGATAGACAGGCTTCCAGAGACCTACCGGACCCTTTGACGAACCGAATATTCTCGACCACCGTCCCTGGTGGTATATCGCCAGACTCTCCCGATGGAACGTGCCTGCCAGGAACAACCACAATCCCCCAAAACAGTTTGCTCGAGAGTGGCTCCACTGGCAAGGGAAAGGTGGCTGCGTCGCGGACTTTACGCGATATTGAGCTCCCAGCGGATGTGATTAATGACCTGTTCCGCATGTATGTCTCTTTTGCTGCTTCAGGACCATGGACTAATACCCGTCACCCTCCCAAGATATTTCTCGCAATACCATGCATATCTACCATTTCTTGACCCTGGGGTTTCTCCCACTCAATACTACGATAATTCGACTCTTCTCTTCTGGTCCATAATTTCTGTTGCCTCTCGTCGGTACCTGATAGACCCCACCCTCTTGACGAGGCTCGCTCGAGCAGTGACAGATCTTTTGTGGAAGTCTCTGCAGATAGTTCCACAGTCCTTGGGTGTTGTCCAGAGCTTGGTCCTTTTATGCACCTGGCCGTTTCCGACGAGCAGCAGCACCACCGACCCGACTTACATGCTCTCTGGGATGATAATACAGCTTAGCATCCAGATGGGCCTCCATCGTCCCCGGAGCCCGCTTGATTTCACAAAGTTCCGCGTCAAGCTCAGTCCTCGCGATATCGAGGACCGACGAAGGACTTGGATTGCTGGCAATGTTGTCACGCAGAGGTATGTCATGGGCGTTGACGTATCCTGATGAGGAGCGGCTGATGATGTGTCGTAGCATAAGCTTCGGTGTTGGACTCCCAACTCCGGCGCAGCTTTGTGACTGGTCGATCCTCGCGTCCTCGCTCGACGGCTCGCGGATAGATGAAGATTTGCACGCTCAGCTGAAATGTGCCTTGACGTGTAATAGGATATCTCAAGCACTGACCTCGAGTGTTTCCGACTCTGCTGGGCTGTTACCGACTCGGGAGCGGATTCCTCTCTACACGATTCTGAAGCAGGAGATTGTCGACCTGGAGAACAGCAGGGAGTGGACTCGAGGTGAGCACATACATGACTGGTTGTTGCCCGTGAATCAACACACTAAGCCTGCTGACTGTGCGTTCAGCGACTACTGCATTCTATCTCCACATCGTCAAGCTTCACCTTCACGCGTTTTGCCTGCTCGACGATCCTTCAGCTTCGGGCTATCTAGAGCGGATCGTAACGCTCTACTCGGCCGCGACCGCCATGATCGAGCACGTTCGCGACCTGGACAGCCAATCTCGGGATTTCTTACAATTCTGCCCTGTATTTTACTACGAAGTCCTCCTCTGCGCCGCCTTGGTTTTACTCAAGGTCGTAAAGAACGATTACTTTGCTGCGATAATTGATGTCGATTCGGGCAAAAAGCTCATCACTTTTTCAGTTTCAGCACTGAGGAAAATGTCCGTGGCCAATAATGACCTCCCCGGGAGACTGAGCGATGTACTCGCCTATCTCTGGACGCACCCGAATCCGTCTATCCTGGGCGGAAGCGGGGTGGACAGACTTCAGTTGGAAGTCAGAAGTCGAATGAGCATGAGCGTCGTATACGACTCATTGTGGAGGTGGCGGGAGCAATTTCGGACCGAAGTCGAAGGCGCCGAGTCGCAAGATCTCAACAACGGTAATGTTACCACCTCTGATTGGAAGAATTCAAAGGCTGATTCCGCACAGATGCGACTGCAACTGCCGGCGTCAATGAGGGCTTTGACAGCGCATTCGACCTGACCGAGCTGAATGGCATCTACTGGGAAGATCTCCAACTGGACTGGTTCTCGTGAGCATCGTATTACTATGAGTCAGCGGACGAAGTCGGCCGTCTAGTGCTTTCATACAAGTCTCGAGCACAGCGAACTTTGAAGGCCTATGATCGAATGCATTTGCTGAACGCCTGGTGTTCATCCGAAGATATTCCCGCAGGGCCACCTTCCCTAGCGGCTAGGTATATTGGTTACATGGATTGCAAGCTGCTGATGCTCCACGAGGTAGGTTACTTCAAAGTGGCGAATTGTTTACATTTCTGGTCTATTTATTTACCTAACTCCGGACAGATGCCACTGATCAATCTGATCTTGGACACAACATCATTCCAGCTATGCCATGCATGATTTTTTCTCTGCATCAAATGGAGCGTTACCAGGAACAGCCACGGAAAAGATAACAACGCCACTAAACCTTGCTATACAAGCTGCCGCCTGCCGCCGCGTCGATTGCTGTGGCTCGTTCCAGGCCCACGGTGGAAAACAGTTTCTTTGGGGTGAAATCAGGAGGCACTCCGGTGCGACCAGTCTTTTTGAAATTTTGAAAGTTCTCACGTATAGCATAATACGCGGGTGCCAGCGCGAGGAACGGGGTGATCATGATGCGAAATCCGAGCTTCTGTGCTTCCTCGGCCGTCCACGACGGTGTAGCGGCGTGGTCGACCATGTTTAGCAGGACAGGGGTGGGCGCCAGGACCTGACATATTATCCTCGCCTCCTCGTCTGAGGTGATACCTTCAAGGAACGCGACGTCGGCTCCGGCGTTGATGGCAGCCTTGAGCCGGCGGGTCGCCTCGTCAAAACCATGCGTTTGCAGGGCATCGGTTCGAGCAATGATGACAATGTCGGAGCCGATCCTCTCCCGTGCCTGGGCCGCAGCGGCGATGCGTTGCGCAAAGATGTCGACGCTGACGACCTCCTTGCCCGCAAGATGACCACAGCGCTTCGTCTGGATCTGGTCCTCGATGTGCAACCCCGCGACGCCGGAGCGATGATACTGCTCGATCGTGCGAGCGACGTTGTTGGGACCGCCGTACCCGGTGTCGGCGTCGGCGATGAGAGGGACGGTCGGGTCGAGGTTCGCCAGCATTTCGGCGTGCTCGCGCATGTCGTTGAGGGTCGCGAGACCCAGGTCGGGTTGTCCGAGTCTTGAGGCACAGGTTCCCGCTCCAGTCTGGATTTTCACAGAAGTTAGCTACAGCGATAGCAATAGCAATAACGACGTGGAAGTTCCTCTCAAGTAAAGTCCTGGGTGTGGTGTCCATACATACCATGTAGAGACAATCAAATCCGACCTCAAGCGCAATCCTCGCGCTGAACCCGTCATACACTCCAGGAGCCATGACTATATCGCGACCAGGCTGTAGCAATTGTCGCAGTCGACAACCTGGCGTCAGGGGCGACTGTCCTCCAGTGGTATGTCCGTTCATCGTGGCGTCCGTACTCTCTGTCGCGTTGGGAATTTATTGAATCCGGGTACAAAAAAGCAAGCAAGCAAGGGAGTAAGTAAGTAAGTACTTGCTTTGCTTGTTATTCCGAATTGCAAAAGAAATAGTAGTTGGTATTCAGTTGCAGCAGTCCAAGTTAAGTACTCTCAGCTGCGACTCTTTTTCTTCGTGAAGGGAGGTGTTTGTCCGTGTTTATACGAATCCCGAATGCACGGCTTTTTTTTTTGGTGGACAAGACTCGAAGTTTATCCCTTTTTGTATTTATACGTAACTAGTGTAGATACACTGTCTGCAGAATGACAATGAAAAGGTCACACGGTATATAGTGTGTACCTAGTAGCGTGTAGTGCGTACGGTATTCAAGCCCCCCCCCTCCCTCACCTATCCGCCCTCTCTTTGTTCTACCGAGTTACTTCCCTTCGGAAGCAATCAGCTTGGGTTGGGGAGAGCGAGATCGCAAATACCGTTGCACGGCCACTCTTTTTCTGTTTGCCTCCCCCTTCCTTCTATTAGAGTTTACAGAACCTCCGCATCGGAGACAGAGTGGCAGGCACGGCAGGCTGGCAGCCTCTTTGTGGTGGGGGAGGGGGGGGGGGGGGAATGGCGGGGACCGCCGATCGGAGAGGCCGAGTTCGGGCCCCATATGAATTCATTCATCTCACCAAGTCCGACAGTACAATATCCTAATCCTCAGATGGGGAACCAAGTTGGTGGTCAAAGCGCCATCCTTTTGCTTAGCTACTGGCATTAGCTAGCTATGTTCAAAAGCAAAAGTGAGGTCTTCCAAGTTCTGTATGTCCACGCCACGCTAGACCATGCCACGCCACAATGATGTTTGAATAAAGAGTGTCTGGAGTCTGGACATGTACTCGACACCTGGTACTACAGCTGCAAATAAACGCCTTCTGGAAGATGCACCTACGCCCGAGATACAGTCCCCGTCTTCCTTCAAAAGGAATTAGTAGTGGCCAAGTAGTCTCGATGGAGGTTTGGATGATTAGCTGTTCCTGTAACCCTCCGCTAACGCTCTTTCCGTCGGCAAGGCTGACTGTAATACAGCTCCCAGGCGTGAGGCTTCGCAGCACTACAGCATTTATACTACTCAGTATCTTCATCCTTAAATCCAGTCATACCTGCTGTCTAGGCAAAATGAAGGCAAGAACGCGAGACCCAGTGACCCTCTCGCGGTCAAAGAATAGCAGCCTTCTTGGCCCTGAACCGACGCCGGTTTCTGGTCTGGCCAACGTACCTAGCAAATACCAATGCGTGCCTAACCCAAGCCTTATTCTATAAACTTTGTTTGTGTCTGCAAAGGCAAGGAGGCTGTTACGGTTTCCACTGGGACCTGTCATGGTCCAAGTTTTGGCAGAGCGATATCAAGTTTCCACCATGGCCTCCTCGGTCGGTGAGTCATGAGTTCTAGCACTGACTACTACTTGCTCGGAAAGACGATGGCCTCGGGATCAGCCACCCATCCTCATGGCGGACAATAACATCGCAACCACAGCAATCATCTGTTCCAGGCAGAATCCCAGGTACTTCGAATGTAGAGGGGAGCTATTAACTGTTATATGTTGCTGTAAACGTTCTCGGCACCAGCCTTCCCAGTAAGCTGACTAATACGCAAAGGTTCGCCATTCCATCCACGCAAACTTACCCACTACTTGGCCTTTTTTTCACAGGTAATTATATAATCATCGCACAAATTTCTTACCACAAATCAGCGTCGTCTTAGCTCAGGTGCGTTTTCAGCCTTCACTACACGGCGATGTTCATCAAAACTAACCCGAGGAAAATAGTTGGGAGAGCGTCGTAAGTGACTACTGCCGCGTCAACACTTGGACACAGAGACAGAAAACTAACTCTCAACAGAGACTGAAGTTCCAACTTGCGGTCATTAAATCTGAAGGTCGTGTGTTCAATCCACACAGACGACATTCCCCTTTTTTTTTTTTCCCTGAATAGTGGTACTGTCGGTCTCAAAACCGGCATACCCAAAAACTTTGCCCTCGGCTTTTAATCAGCATTCTAAGTGGATTCTCTAGTGCTGCGTCATACCACTGTCGGTTAACGTGATTCTGCGTGTAGAGCCAATCAGCTGAGTGCGGGGAATGACTTCCTTCCCCTGCACAAGCTCTGTTTTTGGTCATTTCACGCGTAATTACACGTTAGTCAGGCCGCACTAGTGTCATGAACGCCAAGAAACGGAGGCTTATTTATCCGACACGGAGGATAGGACTATACTATCTGTAGGAAGCACACTTACCCTCCTTCAAGCTTCGTGTCGTGTTACGACTTATACGTCAAGGAATACTGTAATCTAGTGAAATACATTGATATCGTGTGGCTCTGCCTGTCTCCAGAGTCCATTCCTAATAACTAGTCCGGATGGCGGTAGAGGATAGCTTTCTACTCCGTACATTTGGGATGTTCGGCACGCTTCTCGAATCATGATTACAAATTAATTCAGGCAAGTATGTACGAAAGTGATTCCCCAGACCTCTTCCTACCAAAGTTACTAGGAAATAATGTTGAATGTTGAATGATGAATGGATTTTTCAAATGTGAGGCTATTATGATATGAATCAATGCCGAATTTCGGAACTTATACATCTTTAAATGGAGGTATCAGACGTGCTGATTCCTCCCTCGCAGGTAAATCTGCACCAGCCACAGAACAAGCCCGCATATTGCTACGAAGAACAGCCTTTGCCACAGCAAAGTTGGGCGCGGAGAAACATGAGACCATTGCGTCCCTTGAGTCCGAAATGGAAACCATATCTTAGGTGATGTCGCTTCTGTACCTGGAGAAACCGTGGCTGGAGCAGCTTCGGGCGAAACACTGTCATGACTCTTCACTGGTGGTAGCGTCCGCGTCAGCATCTCTGTCGTCATTATCTCCAGAGTCGACGGGAGGTCTAGGGATGACATTTGCTCCTGCCTTACGAAGCATGTTTGCGACACCGTGACGATTTCTATGTAAGGCAGCTCGGAGTGCGTTACCGTACTTGCCGCCCTGAGCGTTAACGTCGGCGCCCGCCTCGAGTAGCCGCTCTACGATCTGCTGGTCTCCGCTCC